GCATATACATATAAATATACGTGTACATATGTATGTGTGTAAATGCACTTTCGTGTGGTATTTTCTGTTTGCAGCAAAAGAAAATTGCATCACTACTTTTATAAGTGTTTACAAGCACTTCCCATTTATTTTCTTTTGGGCTAAGAGTTGCCAACACTTCACGAATGCGGTAGGGAATTGCAAAGGACTTAAGGCTAGCCGCACTTCACAGAGTCAGTGTTAGAACAACAACACTTTATTTTAGGTCTGACCACAAGTTTGCAGCAGTAGAACTGAACAGTTGAATTTTCACCCCAAGCGTACATACAAACAAATACAGATTTACATACATACATACATCTGTATGCAACTGAAACGCTTGAAGCTCTCTCTGCACCCAGAGTAAGTATTGTGTTGGTAGCCTCGGATATTGGTGGTATGCCTTCTGGACACCCGCCTTGACGCACCCTTTCCCAGGCGTTTACTAAGTAAACACATTTTTTTTTTTTTGTAAACACTATATACATATATATAGCACTAGGGTATCCCTTATTTATCGAGGGATGGTCACAATGGTCAACGTGTGTACATTGTATTCAAACTAATTTTTAATAAAGGAACATTTTTTTTCCAAAATAATACAAAAAAAAGGCCTTTTTAGGAATTCCTACAAAACCATTAATTATCGACTGGCTTTGCAACTATCGAAGCCCATGTAAGCAATAATGTGCCGCATATTCTATTCCAAAGAGTTAAGCGACTTTACCCGATCCAACTAAAAATAGTCCAGCGTTGACCAATCGCCCGATCTTGAAGTTCACGTTGGGGAATATTGCGGGAGTGACAGTCCTTGGCCGGATAAAAATCCGGGTCGTTCCGGTATAAAGACCCGATTGTCGCGGGAACTATTGGATTTTAGTCGCCTCTTACGACAGGCATGCCTTACCGCGGGTAAATTCTTGAGCCCCTAACCCGCAGGGGTAAAGTTCACGTCATTCATTCCGGTGGATGGATTCATTCCGGTCTTTTTCGATATTCTGCTCCACAGCAGCAATAGTGTCTTTGGTGCGCACTGCTTGGCGTCTCTGGGCATGCATGCGCACACTATCTACTAGAGACCGATCCGATGGTTGATCGAATTATCTACTCTGTTGGGCAATTATGCCGAAACCATTATTTTAGTATTGCATTTGCACGATTTACAAGCGTCATTCTGAAGTAGGTCTGTTCATTATGAAATGGGAGCCCAACTGATTATAAATCAAATATCCGCTGTCAAAGAGACAAATTTCAAAAAAAAAGTGTTTAAGTATTATGTATAAAGTTTTGTTGTGTTCATTCCAATTGTTCATAAGATATACAGTTCGATTGTGTCCCACCGTTGAAATTGATCGACTTGATCTCCGTCATCGAGTCGATGAGAAACAGAATCGCTTCAAGAACTATCTTAGAAACATATTTTCGAAAAGACGTTTAAATATTGTAAACAAAAAATTGTTCTTCTCTGTGCACTAATATTTTCAAGTCTCTAGTGAATAAAAACTAGAGCGTCCCCTGGAAATATGCTACATTTTTTATTTATTTTCCTAAGTTTTTCCTTATAGTCCTCACAATAAAAATTTTGAGTAGAAAGCTAGGGCACTGTAAAATTAAATTCGAATTTTCCAAAGAAAAACAATTTAGTAAAATATTTTTTTCCCGTTCCTATCTTGTACTTTGAGGGAAGTTTTCCGAAAAAAATGTCCGATCTTGTATTTTGAAGGAGTTCTCGCAGGCAGGGTTGAACTCTAAGCATGAAATAGACAATTATATATAACTTTTTTCGCACTCACCTAACTCACACATATATAGGGTACCCTAGTGTAAAATTTGTTTACATCCATAACTTATTCTTCTTTCATGCTTGCCTCTCCGTCAGGTTGCCTACCCCTTTTCTTACTTTACACTCTTGCATTTATATATGTACACCATGGTTATGTATGTAATTTCCTTCGAGTCTCCTCTTGAAAACATTCAGTTCTGCTTCATAATACTTTCACTTTGTGGCAGAAACTTTCGCCTCTGTGGTTACTGCTAAAGAACTAAGGAACTAAAAATTGTGAAAACACTTTAATATAATTGTTTTACTTATGGTTTTTGTAATTTTTTAGTTCACTGCCTCGCCGTCTGTTGTTTTATAATTTTAGTTTTACGATTAAAGTTTGGTTTCGCTTTATGCAGTAACGTCGAACTGTCGAGCTGTCGAAACTTCTCGAATTCAGTAATCACTTTACGTACATATGCATATATTTAGGAGTATGTATATATATTTAGGAGTATGTATATGCGTATGCGTGTTTACTTCATCGTAAAATGAGCAGTACGATATACTTTAAAAAATGTTTTTATAAAATTTTCTCCGCCTTACTACAATCACTTAATTATTCGTAGACTCCACTTACATGACCGTTGCACAGTTAACCACAGCACGTCAACATACGTGCTTTCGCTGTTTGGCGTCAATTAGAAATACCAAGTACAATACAACCAGGTCCCTTTCCACTTCCAATTCAGTCCAAATTAAAACCTGTTGCAAAAGACTGATTCTGCGCAGGACTTTATAGGTTGTTGAGTCTCTATTAAGCTTTGCAGCTTGTAGTACTTTCTCCAATAATTCGTTAAAAAAAAGTCGCAAGAAGTCATCTTGTCTGAAACCTCGTTTTTGTATCGAACGGCTCAGAGAGGTCCATTCCAATCTCGATAAAGCTTTTGGTGTCGCTTAAAGTATTTAAGCAGCCATATTAATTTTGCGAAGATACGAAATTCAAACGTAATAGTGCAGAAGCAGCTCCTGCTAATGAGAGCCGTTTTAAGGCAGTAATCTTTTATGGAACCCGAAAGAAGAGTTTTTTTTTGTTTTTTTTTTTTTTGGTGGGGAATGAAATTTATTGCGGTAAACGAAATTCACAAACAATACTAAATATCAAATAATATTGGATTTTTACAATGTAGTGTTGAGTTTTCTGCAGTCTGAACTTGTGAAACGGTGCCGACGATGAAGGTCGTGCGAAACATTTGAAACAGTCCGAAAATTTCATTTGTTTTTTTATTTTTCTTCAATATGAACTGAAAAAATAACGAAAAAGTTAGAAAATTCCAAGTTTATTATTTCTGATCGGACATATTATCTTCTTGCTATCCGTTTTCTAAGACTTTTATACAAGAAAACTCTAGAAAACGCGCTTCAAAGGTCTGCCAAGCTTTCAAACCTGTTCGACGCTCGGCTCGACTAAAACTTCTCTAGTTAGAATAATAATTTAAAAATAGGTTTAAGAAAAAGATGCACTTTTTAAAGCCTCTAAAGCAGATAGTCTGCCACCTAAAATCGACGAAGAGGTTGGGTTGTGTATGTGGATGCTCTTTCCACGGTTGAATATCTGTTGGTTGGACTCTTGAACTATTTGAACAAAATGTTAATACGATTCGTGAACTTGTTTTTGTAAATTAACAACATTTCATAGGGAACTATAGATATAACAGACTACCTTAGCATTTCAATTAATCATTTGCATGTATATACTACATACATACATGTATGCGCTTGAAACAAACAGAGTTTACATTTATAATTAGATTTAACTACTACCACGGCAATGTACATATTTGTGTGATATGGAATTTACATAACTGAATTTAATAAAGTTCAAATTGAATTCCTCACCGCCTCAAGCTTAAATTGCTGTGCTAAACATTTCACAGTTAAATTCAATTAGTTGAGTTATGTTTCGCCCACCAAAAATATGTATATGTATATATGTATATAATTATGCTACTCTATTTCATAAGCCAAAGCGTCCAGCTACTTTGAGTCGCACTGAGCTTATTTTAGTAACATTTAAATGAAATTTAGTATAAACATTTTGAGGAAGTTTAACGTTAGCTACACCCACATATGCTCATGCAACAAGTGCTTAGCAGTGCGTACTATACTTTTATAACTTTCGTGCAAATGAAAAAGGTTTTTTAACTTTGGTCCGAAGTATGTAAGTAACAAAAATAGAATTCAAAATTTATACAAATCGCGTCAGAATGATCGCTATGGACTTGGCCATTTGTGTCGTAGTAAGGTAAGACAGTCGTCCGAATGGATGAAAGCAATCCAGCTTTGAATGTATTCGAAGCAGGAAGAAACGAATGGCACGCTACTGTTAGTGCAATAAAGAAAAAGGGAAGGGGAGGGTGTGTTGTCAATCAGCCTCAAAGTTATCGAGTTGGGTGCCGTGCCCTTAAGCCATATCCCCTAGATCTAAATTGGTCTGGTGATAGATAAGTATATAACTTACTTATTTTGGGTAAATAATTTCGGCAGGGGATGTCCACCCCTCCGAACGTAGATCGGACATGAAATAAAGGCTCCTCGTAAAAAAAACCATCAGCCTTTCGGAGGCGGCTTAGTATAAACTGTAGGCCCCTCCATATGTTGGAAAAAAACATCAAGGCGCAAAACTAAAAACTGGAGCAGGAGCTCGACCGAAAATCGCTTCAGCGTTTACATAGCGCCAATTTTATAAATAAGTAATTGATAATGGAGGTTGATGAGTCAGTAAAAAATGTTAATTTTCAGCCGAGAACATTTCGATTCCATCAAGGTGTATTGCGAGAGTTTAAGTTTCCTTACTTTAAGGTATGTAAACATAATTGAGTGTGGCTTAGCATAAATGTGTTTTGAAAAGTCTTAGTTACAGTGGTCTTGATTCACTTGATTTATTAATTTAGTTATTCTAATGTTCGTCGGATTTTCAGGGGAGATAACTTTGGCAGGACACAACAGTATCATCATCATCAGCAAAATAGATATGCTTCCTCGCCTCTGCCATTTTGATATTCTCATTTTGATAACTACCTTACTTGCCAAGTGCCACACAAATGTCCTTGCGAATCAGTGAACTCAAATAAATACACTTGCAGGCCCCATTTATTTTCAAATCGAATTTATTACTTTTTTTTTATCGATGATTTCACTTTATTTTGTATCTTTGCAGTCATCCCAATCGACGAGCAACGGTGCGTGTTAGTGCCTCCCAACCGCAATTGGGTTATTCCACAATTGGAAATGCTCTGATGCGTGGTAGTGGCGATGGTGGCGGTGATTGTGGCAATGGCGGAAACGGCACTGCTTTGCGAAGAGATGTCATTAGCAGCATCAGTGGCGGTACGGCCACGACCAACAATAATGGCAGTGCAGGCACGTTGCTCTCACGACAGCCGAGTGTCACTTGTGAACAAAGCACCCAAACACCCGATTCCATAATGCGCGAAACGCGTCGCCATAAGCTGAAAGCATTCAAATTCTCACTGAACAATGTCACAACGCCAGCTTTGAATTTGCGGTGGGTACTTTGCATGCATAAATACATGCGGCGTCAATGCCGCACGAGTAGTCGTGTTAATGCCTTGCGGCTCTAATTCGATTTTGCCACCTTAATTCAATTTGTTTCTTTACATCCGCTATTTCTAACATTCACTCTGTTTCTCTTTCACTCTCTCTCTCTCTCTCTCTCTCTCTCTCTTTGTCTCTGTCTAATTACAGTTTCCTGAACAATCGCAACAAACGCAGCAATTTATCAGCCAATGCAGTCGCCACCGAACAGAAAGCCACGAAAGTTCTCGGTCTGGTATTTTTCACCTTCGTCCTCTGTTGGTCGCCATTTTTCATTTTGAACATAATTTTTGCCGCTTGCCCCGAATGTCAAGTACCCGAGCATGTAGTGGACACATGTCTGTGGCTCGGTTATGTCTCATCAACAATTAATCCTATTATTTATACGATTTTTAATCGAACATTTCGCGCGGCTTTCATACGGCTGCTGAAGTGTAATTGCGAACGGTAAGTGAAAGTTCTGGTGGTGTATAGAGACAGTAGTTTTTAATTTTATATAAAAGACAAATTAATTTGCTTTTACGTCATGGCATCAGTTGAATTGGTAAGGGAATAATAAAATATTTATGTCATTCTAATAAAAAATTAACGAGTTATGAGTTTCGCAAAGGCCGGTGTTTAAACCACGACAGATCAAAGCAAAAAACGATTAATTTCTGTTTAAAAATGAAAGAAGTTTCTAGGCCTCGATGAGTGAGCGAGATATAAACGTCTCGATGTTGCTCAAACTCAGATTGGAAAGTATAATGGCGCAACCACGTCGTTAACATCATCATTCAGAACTTTGCTTGCTTTCAAAGTCAAAAAAAGTGATTAGTCATTACCACGCAGATTGTCCTCGACAACTTTGCTCTTTTAGTGATCGCCCAAAAATTGCATTACCAAACTTATCCGTTGACTCCAGCTTGAATTAATGCCATAAATGATGTGGAATGACAGAGTTTCTGAAGGAAGCATTTAACCAAGAGTTCTACAAATATAAACCAGAACTTTATGGACTGATCGATTTTGTTGTGCGGTATTAGAGACCTCCATTCCAGCCAATGCTGCCACCCGAAGATTTAAGGCGATTTTCGTCTGAGCTCTTCCTCAAATTATGATGTGAGTCATTTAAAAGAAGTTCAATAACTTTAGTTGTTAGTCAGAGCAGGACTCTTGCCCGTCGTAGACGTTATTAGCGTTTTAAAATGCGGCGGATCATAGACTCGATTTTGCACCAGAACAACATCGAAATTAACATAAAAAATTTGTTTTTTTTTTTTTTTTTTAATTCGGTCGTCCTTGAGCAGGATATGTAATTACCTCCGAGCTTACTTCGGACATCAAATAAAAGCTCCTCATATCAATCAGCTTACATAAAACTCTTGGTGCCCAGTTCTTAAAGTCAGAACTCTTCTCGTTCGTATATCTCAAAAATTAATTGGGCAGGTATGATAAACGACTTTTCTCTGGCTTTATTCATTCAGAAAGTTCTTAATTTCCATCACAGCGGGTGAACCAATTAGAGGTACTTTTTTTGCAACGCCTAGTTGTGTCAAGTTGTCATGTTATTCTTGTTCAGTATTGTTTTGCATTTCATCACGAAAAGACTTACGCCTGAGCGACGTTTACAAATCGTTTAACTTTATTACGAAAATTTACGTTCTCTGCGCTTCGCTTAACTTATGATCAAGATAATCGGTCTACTGAGCGTACTTTTCGCAACACCATCACCCATCTTGACATCCAACATTCATTGCTACACAATATTTGACCAAATAGACCACGTACAGCGCGCAGTTAAGAAAATATAGCGGTCGTAGATGAGAGTGTGCACCAAGACCGTAATAAGTCAATTTGACGCCGTTCGAAATGACGTATGGAACGACTTGGCGCATTTTATGATCTGAAAGTGAAAACGTACAAAATACAGCTTGTGCAAGAACTGGACTCACTCGACCTTCCCAAGCGACATGGGTTCGTTCTATGGGCTCTTGAAAAGTTCCAAGAAGGTTCGAAGTTTTCGAGCCAAATTTTCTTCAGAGATGATACCCATTTCTGACTCAATGGGTATGTAAACAAGCAAAATTGCCATATTTGAGACAAAGAGGAACCTGAAGAAATTCAAGAACTGCCATTTCATCCAAAAAACCATAACGGTTTGATGTGGTTAGTGAGTCGGTGGAATCACAGGTTCAAATTTCTTCAAAAAATATGCCGGTGAGAACATAATCGTCAATGACGGCGGTTATCGCGCCATGATAACCGACCATGTAATGCCTGAAACTGAAGCTCGTGATCTCGTCGACATTTAGTTTCAGCAAGACGGCGCCACTTCTCACACACCACATAAATCAATGGATTTATTGGGAGAACTATTCGGTCAGCATATAACTTCCCGTTTTGGGTCGGCCAATTGGCCATTAAGATCGTCTGATATCCCCCTTTGATTTAGACCTTGAAGCAAAACATCACACGTGTCGAACTGCTCGATTGAGTCAGCGAAAATTGGACTCAACGGATGGACTCTCTGAGACGTAGCAGCGGCCAAATGCCAAAGAATGTTCTTTCGAATGACAAACATTCCCCATTAATTTTTAATTTGCTGTGTTTTTCCTTAAAGATGCAGGGAACCTTAAAATGGATGACCCTTTATAGATCGAATTTATAGCAGAGCTGACCAGCTGGTTGCCTCTCAGGGAAAAGTCAAATTAATTACTCTGGGTAAAGTTATTCCTTCATATTATGATGTTCTCAATTTGTCCATGTTGGCCAGGATTTGTAATATTTCTTTTATTAACGTTAATGTTTCGACCACTCAGCGGCTCTTACAACCATTTCTATAGCATTTTCTGGAGCAATCGCAGAAATTCCCACACAATAAAAAGTGATTAACTAAGATTATAAAGCAATTTAATTTGTATTAAATGAAAATGTGTTTGTCTATATAAGCTTATATGTATGTATATATGTATTTATTAATGCTTATAAATTGTAAATATGTAGTATTAATTGAAATTCCTTACCATATCCTATACTTTTCATATCATTTTCATATTCCACGTTTCTTTTTTATTTTATTTTTTGTCTCCCTCCCATCTCAGCTCGGGTCGACCATCACGCTATCGCTCCGTTACCGAAGGACGCGGTGCATTAAGTCTCTGCGCCCCATCTGCGCTGCCGTTGGCCATCTCATTTCAAGGTGCACCGCTGATGACACCATCAACGGCAAATGCGACGCCGTTAAGTGATTTTCGTGGCAGTTATACGATCACAGATGATGAGTGTTAAGAGTGAAGGTACGAAATTGTCGCGAACACAATGAGATGTACTGCAATCAGAGCGACGTAACAGCAATTACGTAATACTTTAGCGCTGTAACTGGAAATGTAACGGCAAACATACATAACTGCATAATGTAGCTATTTAAGGCGGCGAATTTCCTGCAAAGCCACGAAACGAACAAAAATGTAATGTGTAAGGGAAATCTACGAGAAAGGCAATGTGCGTGTATTGCAGGTAAATTTACCGAAGTGTATATACTCGTACATGTGTAAGTATGCATTTGTTAGCGATTTGTGTGGTACATTTCAACCTACATACATGTCTATATATGTATGTACACATGTTATATATGTAAGCATTAATTTTTTTTTTTAGCGAAAGCATGAAGAGATTTCGTATGATATGAATGCCATTTTTATTGTGTGTATACAAGTGTACATGTATGGGATACATATTTACAAACAAGCAGAAGTCAATGTATAAAACATTTATTAGTTTGTCCTACATCTTCGGTACAGGAAGTATTGTACGTTTGCTAAAGTTAGTCAATTAGAGAGGAAATAAAAAGATAATATTAACGCAAACTTCAGTAATAAATATCTTTTGAATTTCAGAAGCAAAACGACTTAAAAGATCTTGTACTAAGATTAAAATTAAATTCAATAAGTGTAATTTTTCCATATCTTTAAATTACAGATTTATTTGTACAATTTCAATTTCAACCTAAAAATCTTATTCATAAATAAATAAATCAATTATTATTATTATTATTTTTTTTTTTTTTTGAAGAGTGCATAAATTACAGCAAGTCTCCTGATCAGACTACATTTCAATTTGAATAGAATTTGAATTTGAATTGGAACTGAAGATATCCACCACACCACACGAACTATTGGCTACACCATCAGGTTATATTTGCTTCGGGTTAATTTATTGTTATTTTCCATTTTTTTTTTCTTTTTTACATATTTACGATCACGTACTCAGATTTTCTGCAGCTGTAAACTTGCCTAGAGTGTTCTTTTAGACATTCTTAAGAAAAATAATGAAATTATATGCGCTAATTTACTGTTATGGCCAAGAATTTAGCTTTGTTATGAAGACAAGGGTCAGCCTTTATATTTTAATAATGATTTCAGTTCCAAAAGGCTCAATTTCATACCACTTTTTGAAGCAACTGGTTCCGTATGTTATTTATATCATACGAAATTTACTTCTTCAATACGTCAATCGGCTCACATAACCTCACAAAAATAGGCTCACGAAGCGAGATAATGCACTCAACAAAAGTTTCCTTCAATAAATTTATTGTTTCGTTGGCTGCTTGGCATTTAGCGCCGAAGATCATTGATCGGACGCACAGCAGAGAGTATGAACCTTTTATTTGTCAAATGAAATCAAAAGCTCCTCACGAAAATTCATCAGCAATTTGGAGGCAGCATGGAGTCCACCATAGGCGGCATAAACGTTATTACACACTTGGTTTTCTATCAAAGCGAAATTGATTAAATTAATGCAAAATAAACATGTACTCATTAGCAGCAAATATATGCGACTACTTACATACATATACTGTTACTTAAATATGCATATACAAATACCATTTGCAACAATACCGTTATAAATATATCAAATTGATTGAGAGTATTAACAGTGGAAAGCTTAATGGCTGCACTCATTATAATTGTAATTGAATAACATAATTCAATATTGGCACCTATGTATGTATATATGTAATTAATTGAAAATCATTTAAAATGCCAATGAGTACAAGCCCACTGTTCTCGCTAGCTTGTGAATTATAAAATAAAGGTGTGCATTATTTATCACATGAGTGTGTAACAAATGCATGGGAGATTGAAATAATTAACGCGCAAACACGCATTCAATCGGTGATAACTCAGTCTGAAAACTAATGGCTAATGGCAATGCATAAATTAATGAGTTGGCAATTTCTCAATAACAAAAATTATTGTATGCAATACAGTGGTGAAGTAGTGATGTATTTACGTGCAAATTGTATACATTTTCCTAAACTAAACTACGACAATTTCGTAAATCCTTCGAGTGCGATCAGTCGGTTGTTAAATAAAAGTCACCCGATTCTGCTCAATATACCATAATAATCTCACTTCACACCTTTGCACTGTGGTTCAGGTTACCACTTTTTGTGGTCATAATTAATAACTCATAAAGTAGTCAATATTTTTCCGTGCGTTTTTGTCCTCAGGGTATGCATATTTTTACCTTGTTTTTGGAAAGCCGCGCGTGTCACCGACCCTTCCTTTCATTTTTAAAAATTTTTTCATTCGATTATTAATGTGTTGTTTATTTTGAAACAAAAACACGCCTCTACTAAGATAACATTTATTAAAAAAAACTGGAAGGGAAAAAACATAAAAAATTAAGAGACACTTTTCGATAGACCTCGGTGACCAACTGAAGTGAATTGTATTTATTAAAAAGTTCACAATACAAACCTTTCCTGTAATTACTTACCTAAAATAACACCCTTTTAGGCGGTTTTTTTCTTTATCTCATTCCATACGGCGCAGCACTACGAGTACGCAAATTTTTGGTTATATTTCGAAAACCAAAATTCACCAAAAGTGGTATTTGAAATTACCCGCATTTGAACAACAATTAAATTCTCTACAACAAACAGTAAATTTTTTCAATCGATTCGACTAGACTCACAATATATTTCATTTCAAAAATTTATTTTCACAAGATATTTCTTATCATTACTTAAATATTTAAAAAATTATTGGAACGGCACGATTCACTTAGTCAAAAAAATACTAAAAATATTTATAGTACAAACGATAATTTTTAAAATCCATAACAAATATTATCATCACATGGATTCCGAAAAATTAACTTTGGGTCCCAAAAAATGGTATGGTAGACCCTAGTGCAGTGTTTTCACTAAAAAGTACCATAAGCAACTCGTATTAGTGCTGCGAGTCCTCGCTCTGAGATACTCCCGCTTGCTTACATACACAGAAATACAAAGCATTGTTGTTGCAAAAATTGCAATTAATTAAGAAAATGTTCAATTCATAAAATAACGAATTATCACTAAGCCACCACACACTTACGTGTGAAATTTCACCCTTTGCGGGTAGAAAAGTAGAAAGTATGAAGTTCAATAAAGACGAAAGAAAGCTTCAGAAAAGGAAATTGTCAATAAATCATAAATAAAAGGAAAAAGAAAAGCAACTACAATTTTCATGAAAATGTGCATTTTAATTAACTTTTAGTGAATGAAGTTAGCGGTAAATTGTTTACTGGAAGGTCTTAGGAAAATTATAAAATCAAGGGAAAATTGCAAAAAATACTCGTAATTTACCTGGGAAAACTTACAGTTACAAGGACCTTCGAATAAAAACAGATAATATAAATATCAAATGTGTATGTATATAAATATGTTTTTATGCACTAAGCGGTTGAGTTTAAGTAAAATGTTTATAATTAAAACCAAAATTAAAAATAAATTATTAGAAAATGGCAAATAAAAAGATTTATACTAAACTAAGGATTTAATAAAATGTTTAAGCAAGAAGGCAGATAAATTTGACTAAAACATTTAATGTTTTTTGTTGTTGACATCTACCCGTGTATGAATGTGGGAACACCAAAAAAAAAGAGTAAATGTACCTTCAAAGTTAAAACTGAAATGTACTATTAACTTTTAATAACTTAACATACATTTATAATAGTAATAGCAAATCAGAATTATTCAATAAAAAAAATTAATGAACAAAATTTAGTAACAAATAACGTATAATAAACCAGTAAGAATAATAAATAAGAAATAAAGAGCAATAGTTAATATACAAATAATTCAAAAATGATTTCTGTTTTTGTTGTATATTTTTATTTTACTCATTTATTTATTTATATTATTTTTTTCTTTTATTTTTTTTCGTTTATTTTAAATTAATTTATTTTATTTTAATTTTTTTCTTTTATTTTACATTCAAATAGTACAATAAAAAAAAAAAATATTTTAGTACTTTTTTCACTTTATGTTATTTCATCTTTTTTTAAACTATTTTATTTTAGTTTATTTTATTGTTTTTCATTTAATACTATTTTATTTTAATCTATTTTAATTCATTATATTTTTATTGATTTTGTTTTCCTTTCTTTCATATGTTTCATCTTTTTTTATTTTAATTTATTTAATTTTATTTTTTATCCTTAACTATTTTATATTATTTTATTTTATTTTGTTTTGTTTATTTTAATATATTTTGAATTATTATATTTTTATTTAATTTTGTTTCACTTTATTTCATTTGTTTCATCTTTTTTTATTTTAATTTATTTAATTTTATTTTTTTTTTTTATCCTAAGCCGTTTTATATTATTTTATTTTATTTTGTTTAGTTTATTTTAATATATTTTAATTTATTATATTTTTATTTAATTTTGTTTCACTTTATTTCATTTGTTTCATCTTTTTTTATTTTAATTTATTTAATTTTATTTTTTTTATCCTAAGCTGTTTTAATTATTTTATTTTATTTTCCTTAATTTCATTATTTTTATTGTATTATATTTTATTTCACTTATCTTATAACATAGCGAATTTTCTTTTTGCTGGTGTCCATATTTGACGAGTGCTCACAACGTACTGAGTCAATCAATCGAAAAACTGTCAAATGCAAGCTTTTAGCCCAGCGCCGTACAGTAAGACATGATGAAACACTTAACACTAGTACTATGGACAATAACGCCATCTCTTGATAAAAACCGAAAGATCTTCTTACTTGAGCCAATATTTCTTTTACTTAATTTATTTTAAAATTTTTATTTTACGTTACTTAATTTTATTTTCTTCTATGTTATTTTACTTGATTTTATATTATTTTGTTTTAATTTATATTATGTCGTTATAAGTTTACTTTCTTATATGTTTATTTTATTTTGTTTTATTTAAATTTATTTAATTTTGCTTATTTCACCTTCTTTGAGTTTTGTTTAGTATTAATTTTTTTTCTTTTTTAATAAAATTTTTTATTTTATTTTATATTTTTTATTATATATTATTTCTTTTATTTAATTAGTTTTTTTAATTTTTTTTAATTTTTTTAATTTAATTTATTTTTTTTATCTTACCCTTTTTTATTTTTTCAATTTTATTATTTTTTTATGTGTTAAATAATTTAATTTTTCTTTACTATATTGTGTATCTATTTCATTTCTATTATTTTATTTTATATTAATTTGTCATATTTAGTTTTATATTATATATTTTATTATATTTTATTTTATTTTATTATGTTTTATCTTATTTTATTTTATTTTATTTTATTTTATTTTATTTTATTTTATTTTATTTTATTTTATTTTATTTTGTTTTATTTTATTTTACTTTATTTTTAATTTATTTTATATTTCTTTTATTATCTTATTCAATTTAATTTAATTCTATGAGTTTTATATTTTGGTTTTATTTGAATACATAGAAACAATATAAAAACTAGATCAATAATGAAGTAATTAATATTTTTAAGTTAGTAAACATTTAGATGTGCAATAAATTTGTACGCACGCTTGTAGCTTTTCTAGTAACCTAAGCTTAGATATAAGTTCAAAGCGTTTACAAGTGTAAATTAATAAGAATTGTTTTTACAGAGCCAAAAGGGCTATTATCAATGTAATTTACAAACATACAGATTTCCTTGTTGTAATTATTGAAATGAACCTAAGAATGTTTTTAATGCATATTTTGTTTGATTTTGTATAATGTTTTAAATATATATATTTTTTTAAATAATACAGCATTTATTATTATATAAACTATTACTTGTTCTATATTCGAAAAACAATTTGATACAACAATACATATATAAAAGAACAATTAAATCTAATTGACTTGTTCTCCTTGCAGAAATTCCACGGTAACAAAGCAAAAACTAAATGAAAACCCGTTTTTAAGAAATTCTTTTAAATAAACACTTTAAAAGCAAAGTTTCTTGCAAATGTTGTAAGGAGTGCTTAGCTCATTTTTTTTTTTTTTTTAATTTAAAAAGTATAAACCTAATTGCGTGCTGCTTTACTGGATCATTACGAAAACTCTCTCGCTCATACCATATCCTGTCCATATGTCTGTGTGTCCCCGAATTTCATTTTGAGATAGAAAAAAGCTATAAAAAACTTTAATCCTACAAAGATATATCAGGCCAAACACTAAAAAAAACTTGTTTTAAATTTTAATGAGGCTGTGTCATTTGTAACTCGAAAAGCATGAGGTTTCCTGCGAAGGGCTTCAGAAATTCCTTCTTCAGCTAATATTACGTATATATAGATAAAACTCTTAAAGACTTATTAACTTTTAGCCACAATGGCATATTAAAAAAGTTTCTGTACGCAAAAGAAAACATAATAATTATAATATATTTAGTATACATAGACTATTCATTAGTATAAGATGTAAGGTTGCAATATAAGCTAAAGAACTCTCAATTTTTATCTTTGAAATCAAAATAGGAATTTCCATTTCGAAAATTAAGAGACTTCAACTTTATTTTATAAATGCAAAGAGCAGTTAACGCTCCTCATCTATGCAGCTTATGAGTTTTTGTCTAACAAACTGAATTCACAAATAGTAAAAAATTGTATGTAACAGTAAATTATTTAAAAGGTTAGGTCTGAAATGAAGTTTCAAAAACTAATTGCCTTAATCGCTCTTTTTATCATTGCTGAAAATAATCAATAATGAATCAAACTCTCAGAACTATGAGATATTATGTTTAATTATTTTTTTCAAAATATTTTTAAGTATATGCTAAATAAAACTAAAGAAAGGAGTTGTACATTTATTATTGTATATAAATGACAAATATTGCGACTAATAATAGATATAGTTACTCATTTGCCGTTATATGTAGTTATAGAAAAATGTAATTGTTATATTTACATGTATAAATGTATGTGTACCAAAAAAAACCAAATGCTTAATAAATATATATATATATTAATAAAACAGCTTCGGTTTTCATTAAAAAAAAAAAGTTTTCAGTTATAAGTTTTTTGGTAAGCTAAAGGCCTTTTTCCTTTACTTTAACTCTTCTCAGACAACAACTTTTTTGTCTCTACACTTTTGAATAACGTTCTCAACTGTTTAACTTTTCTTATTTTCAATAGAAAAATCGCAAACCTCGTTAGAGTGAATAATTAGCCCGATGGAATTAATTTTTATTTTTCCAGCAGCCGTGATAGCTGTGTGGTTAGCATTGCGTACTGACATTCGGAAGGCTCGGGTTCACAAATTTTCTAATAGTGATCGCCCCGAGTGTATTTCGGACATGAAATAAAAGGCTTCTTGCAGAAAAACCATCAGCCGTTCGGAGGCTGCTTAGTATAAACTGTACGTCCCTCCATTTGTTGGAAAAAAACATCAAGTCGCAAAACCACAAATTGGAGGAGGAGCTCGGCCGAAAAATCGCTTCAGTGGTTACAACCGCCATATTGTATATATAATACAAATTTTCTTATTTGTAAAATGTGTATGCTCTTATTTTATTTTATTTTATTTTATTTTATTTATTTTATTTTATTTTATTTTATTTTATTTTATTTTATTTTATTTTATTTTATTTTATTTTATTTTATTTTATTTTATTTTATTTTATTTTATTTTATTTTTATTTTATTTTATTTTATTTTATTTTATTTATNTTTTTTTTTTTTTTTTTTTTTTTTTTT